ATCAAAGCAACTGACTGCACACATGTTGCAATAAGGGCACCTTGGGAAGATTAATTTTATTTGTAAGCAGAAAGCACTTTTCATTATGTAAAATAATTTGTGATACACAAAAGATGATTTATTTTTTTTGCGCTTTTCAAGGTTTTTGCTCACCCATTCATGTCCACACTCACAAACTCCATGGGAACAATTATTTGGGGTTCAGTATCTTGCCCAAGGACACTTAGAAATGTGGACAGGAGGAGGTGGGGATCAAACCACCAACTGTGGACAACACGCTCTACCTCCTGAACCACAGCCGCCCCATAATTATGCTGACATGACAATGTGAGATAACTCAGTGAATTGCTTTAGCCCATTCATCGTATTACTCCTCAATGCATGGTTTCTGAATGTATTTGTATTTCACTGTGATTTGATGAGTAGCTGTAATGCTGTATGGCTGATACTATTTATTCAATCATTGCATAAAAAAGTGCATTTCAGCATATTTGAGCCATGTATTTGTGCATGTGACAGGAGGCTGTTATTAATCAAGGGTGTCCCAGTGAGCTCTGCCAAACACACACATCCTTGCAGTCTGCGGTCGTTTGGGCACAATGGCAATGACCAGAAATGCATCACACAAATAGGCACATGCAACTAAGTGAGGGTATTGGGATGGACCCTTTGTCTACAGTGACAGGAAAACTACAAGTCTAAAGCCGTTTAGTTCTACACATTAAAACTGAGCGCTGGAGGTAAGGCAACAAGATCATTCAAACCAAAAGAGTTTACCCTCTGGGGAGCTGGAGTGCACTTCGCAAATTTCTTGGCAATCAGATTAGATACAAAATCCTCAGGGGTAGTGCACCATAGTGCCTGCACAATAAACTATACAAACACAGAGAAAGTGACAGTAGAGTAGCCTTTTTGTTTAGGTTCCCATTTTTTTCAACATTTGGAATTCTTTTGGTGCAACATTAAAAATCAACAATTTCACAGGAAAAATATGCAGATGGGATATTAACCCAAATACATTTTTGACCTACTTTGTGTGAGAGGTGTGTAACATTATACTGTAGCTAACTTATTTCAGTGCTGCAAGGGATCACGTACAATGAATAAAACTGAACATCATATGGCTGAATGACAAGCTGAATATCACAGAAACACTTTCATTGGCTATCGTCTTGTGAAATTAATGATTTATGGTATTTTTACCCTCTGAATCTGAAGAGTTCAGTTCAATTTCATTCATAACAAAGATATCTCATTGCACTTTTCATAGAGCAGGTCTAGACCATACTCTTTGAAATAATATTACCAGAGAATCAAAAATTATTCATTTTACAGTTCATATTTGTCTGATAATGTCGTTATCTGAGACTGAACCTACTCTACGCTTATATTGTTGCCGGCACGAAAGGAGAAGACGACAAGTAGTCCTTCTGCACCTCCTGTTTGAGGAGAGACCAAAGAGGTGAGTGGCAGTTTGCTTCCATAGTGGCCTTCTGTTTCAAAAGATGAGCTGTCACAGGAGATTTACAATTGTGTCCTTATTTCAGAGCATTTGTTTGTTTCCTATTTACACAGAAACTGCCAAACTTCCTGTAAATGATCTGAAAGTCCGAACCATCCATTTGTTTCACACTAGAAACAAACCAAAACATGGTTCAGTTTGATCTGGACTAAGGGCGCTTTCACACCTGCAGTTTGGTTCATTTGGTCAAGACCAAGTGAAAAAAATGATAAGCTGTTGCATTTTAGTTCTGGTCCGGATCATGTTCACACTGCAGTTTTACAAAAAAACCAGAGAAGTAACCATGACATTACACAGATGTACAGGAAACTTGTTGATTGGACAGCTTTGGCGATTGTCATCCTGCATCATCAGGACCCACGTGGGGAAATCAAACTCCGGTGACTGACAGAAGTTTGTGCAGCACTTAAACGCTTCTGATCTGAAGAGCTCACGAAGTAATAATTTATTATAAGCATGATTAGTAATGCTAGACAGCAAATCGACCGCATAGCGTATTATTAATAATAACGTACATGTACAGGAATAATTCGGGGCTTATTCGCCTATAGTATACTGTGGTATCGCTGTCACACATTTTTTATGGACATAATGAACTGACAGGGTAAACGGAATACTACTTGCCCTCTTTTTTTTAAAACAGATTTTAACCTATTAATCAGGGAAATACCCGCGCTGACAAGTAGGCCCTACCTTATAAAAATTTTCATAAACATAGGGCTTATACAGATCAATTATAAGATCGGTGAACACATGTCGCTGCACGGAGAAATGCGTTGAAATAAGGACACAATTATAAATCTCCTGTGACAGATCATCTTTTCAAACAGACAGCCACTATAGAAGCGCCCTGCCACATACATATTTGGTTTCTCCTGAAACGGAGGTGCAGGAGGATTGCTTTTTTTTATTCATTCATTCTTGTCAAAGCTACCTGCTGAACTGTTTAACAAACCTATCAATGTCAAGTATAGTATAGACGCAGCCAGTGCTGGACTGGGACAAAAAAAAGGCCCTGGCATTTTTGGCCCAGGCAGCCCACCAAACTCCCCCTGAAGAATTTGGGCTTTAAACACTTCATTTCCTGCATTCTGGTGAATTTTTCTGCACCAATTCATTGAGGAAATGTCTTTATTTATATAAAAAGAAACACAAAATTCAGGTGACAATTCAAAAAAAATAGTGTAATATAGTGCTGTAAGGCTCTCAGGCATTCTGTATTGCTGTCAAATATATATATATTTTTATTTATTTAATCCCTGCTGAGTCAACACACATGCAGGCATGACTGAAGTAATCTAAAGTCTTTAAATGTGCACGTGGCACCTTTTCACCTCAATGATAAATTAATTTTAGTTATAAACCCCTGCACCTTTAATAGCTCCTATGTTTCAGCAGGTTTTCTGCTCATGTTCAAAACTTAGTGCGCATTAAAAATCTCCCCCACATATCTGTTGCAGAATAACAAGTTGAGATATAATATTACCAGATATAATGAGAATGAAGTCATTATATTTTGACAAAATCTACCTGCTCCTCTGCTGTGCATTACCCTTCAATATTGCTCTGCTGATATGATAGCAGGCTGCTACCCCCTTTAGACCGTCTGACAGACAGACTGTACTGGATGAGACAAGCTCGCTGCTTTTCATCAGAGGTAGAAAACCGAAACTGAAAACACTTGTGATCGGACAGAAATATCACCACACATCCACACACATGTTCACTTCAGCACCTCTGATAAAGTGCAGCTCACAGCCACTTCAGAGAGAATTAAGCATCCTGGAGCAGAGAGACGGTCAAACAGAGCAAAGTGTCTCTGAGCGAGGGGGACAGAGACAGCAGAGAGAGCGACAGGTGTCTGTGTCGCGGTCAGGTGTGTCATGTTATTCTCTCACTACTTTGCGGCGACTGTTAACCGTTTGTGGAGCAAGTAAATTGACTAGACGCTGACCGACAACATCTATATTTAAATGTTTTGATTACAATTTGCTCGGGACAAATTAGTAGGCCTAGTTGCTGACAAGCCCTGAAGCCGTGAGCAAAGCGCGCGCTCTCTCTCTCTCTCTCTGCAGGCAGGCAGTAACGGCGGGGGAGTCACGTTACATGAACTTCAAACAAAATGTAGCAATAGTATTGCGAGTAGTCTCCGCTCTTTGAAGAGCTGCGAGACAGGCTGACCGATGAGGATTATTGCATATTAGCCTAATATGTAAAATATTTTTTAAGTTGTTGAGTTATCCACTGGGTAGCCTACATGTCCCCGTCCCCAGTGTAAATGACCCTCCCTCCCTACAGGTTGAGCTACTCATGCTTACCGCTTCACCTCCACTCCTCTTCTCTCTCTCTCGCTCAGTCACTCGCTAACACAGCCTCCTTCTCTGCCTGTCAGCTCTCCTTTACTCCTTCAGGTGCCTGTGCCTGCTCTTTGTGGGGTACTGCAGCTGGCGTTGAAGCTTCTGCAGCCCCGTAGCAAACATATCGGTTGGGGCATAACGCAAGGAACAGAGAGCAGAGGGGGTGGGGGCTAGTAGGTAAGAGATGTGATTGGGCCCATTTAAAAAAAAAAAAAAAACAGTTACATAATTATATAATAAATAATTTAGTTACACCGGCCGCAAAGGTGCATCAAATTGCCAATCCAGCCCTGCTGTGTCTACCTGCTGTTTGGACTGAACTAAAACCAAATACTTGCAGGCCATAAAACCTAAAGAATATACTGATATGTCTTTGACCTTTAAGTGGATTTTAGGAACCAATGGGAGCTTATGAGTACTGGAGGGTCAGTCATACCTTGGCAACACCATAGCATAAGCTGTGGCAAGTACATTAATTGGCTCAAACTGTTGAGAAATAATTGTAAAAACAGGAAGCAAAGATATGCTGCTGTTGTCCTTAGACTCAAATAATGACATCTGTTCTTCCTCTGGAGACATCTTCAAGTAGTGTTAAGATTTTTTTTAATGCAGGACTGAATAGTGGTTAAAGTCATTTATAATCTGACAAAGTGGTGTCCAAAGCACCTGGCATCCTGCAGCTATAACACATCCCATTATCTATGCCTGTGCCAATTCTACTGAAAGATGCTCCAAAGCCAGCAGTAGCATAAAAGGTTGGAGAAATGACAACTGAGGCCATTTATGTAATTGATAAAAGTGTGTGAGCAAGTAGATAGATCAGATAGATTGTTAGGAGAGCAGAGGCCCTTAGAGGCCGATTAGAAAAAAGGCCACTACCATAGGAGAGAATAGCAAGACATTCAAGGAATAGATTGTGTCAGTTGGCAGGGTGGGAAAGACATCAATAAACTGTGCATGTCTTATCAATTAGTACCATCAGAGAGCTCAATCTGGCTTATTAGAACTTGTTTTTAAGTGGCTCCAAAGTGAATTTTGGCTGCCTTCCCACCCTGGGACTGAGGATGGTTTCAGAAGTGAGCAGAGCAGACAGAACAGAGAAGAGAGACAGAGAAGGTGAATGCAGAGCTACAGAATAGTTTTATTAGGCATGCTACAGACGTAATGCAGAATACACGAGAGACCATGAGAGGGAAAATTCAAAAAGCAGGAAACCAAGTCGCACCTCCCCTTGTTAGAAAATAATTCATCTTTTAATTGTGCCTCTTCAGAACTATACCAAATCCTTACATTTTGAGCTGTATAAAATCAGACTTGGAAGAAAAAATATACATAACTGTTATTTCTGAGCAAACATCTCGAGTCAAGAGGTCCTGTTGGGTTTTAAAAAAAAGGGAAATAACTCAACACTTCTTCTTGGCATTTGTCCCTGAAATAAAACATTTCAGTGTTTTCAAATGCTTGTTTTTTGTTATTTAAAATGAATTAAAGGAACACTAAAAGGCACAGAAACTTTGGTCCAACTGAGTAGCCCTCTCGAGTAAACTGTCATATGACAATGAAATCACAGTGGACTCATCTAACTGCTTCCACAGCATGCAACACTTTCTGATGTGAGATCCTATCATAACTATTCATGCTTAGAAAACCATTGTCACTGACAATTACAAAAAAAAAAGAAGCACAGAAGGCTTCAAAAACACAGATAAAGGAATACTTCAGCACAAGTCATGTCATATGTGACATTATGTGAATTCAAAACTGGGGGAGAATAATCTCGTAATGAACATGTGGAATAATGGAATTCAAGTTAAACTGCCTGTCACAGGCTGTTTTAAAATATTTTACATGTTGCTAAACTAAAAAAGGAAACAAAAGCTACGCCTGGTTGGTGGCAGTGCTTCAAAAACTGTAATAATGTATAGAGGATGACAAAACAGCTTGCACTCTCACTAAGCCCCAAAAATATCCAACACCAATGTGCCTCAAAAAGCATAGCAGGGTAATTCATGAACATGTCCAGCTGTAGAAACAGTTGATATTGTCAAGTAAGGCACATAAGTAATGTATCTTTTCAACTAATCAAGAATTAAACACTGATCTACATCAAAGTCTCATACAGGAGGACAATCCATCATGTCAACATTTTGCTTGCCATAAAAATACAGAGGTGCAGATAATAGCTGGGAGGATCCAGTATCTGCAACATACTGAAATGTTCTCTTTAAAAAATGTCAAAAGTTTCAGTCTCTCTTGAGGAATGACACAATCAACAAAACTCCAACAACAAAACAGATTCAATCCCCCCCCCCCAGTGTCCAGACACAGTCTGAAAGGTTTCTGAGCACCAAGCTCAGAGACAGTGAACCCTGGTACTGTCAGGAGTTTGTGGGTCAGATTCTTAAATGGTGGACTTGGAGAAGGAGACTCTCAGGTGCTGGTTGCCTCCCATGTTGTAGTTGTGAAGGTCAATCAAGGCCTGGATAGCCTCTTCCACTGTTGACATCTGGATCAGAGCCATTTTGCGATCCCTGAAAAATGATGTGGTGGTGAGTACCACAGGAAACAGACCTGGCTGGCATACAACATAAACATAAAGCTGAACTAGAGCAAGATTCACAAACTGTTCCGATAATGGATAGGTCGACCTACTGGAAAAACTTGAATGCTTTCACAGTGCCTCCAGCATTGGAGAAGAGCAGCCGCAGGTCATCCTCTGTCACGTCCTGTCTATTAAAATAAAAGATCACAGATTATAGTCAGGCATGTCATGGCAAATAAAACCAAAACCATATGCATATACACATATCGCTAGAGCAAGGTGAGAAAATAATGTCTGGTAACTTTGGCTTTTAAACACTGTAAAACTGCACAAAAATGTTATTTTCACTTCATGGAACAGAGCCATCATTGAGAGACGGCCTTCTTCTTCCTCCTGCATGTAACAACAGAACTGGCTGATCCTGAGCTGCCTGCCCTGGTGCTTACGGGATGTTGGAGAGGTGGAGGGTAGCAGATGGTGGGAAGATGTTCTGGAAGTTCTTGGAGCCAGGTTTCTTGAAGCGATGAAGTGGGGAGTTGGCGTAGTCCTTGGTCAGGCCCTGGTCGTCCAGACCGTCACGAGGCAGCGCCACTGTCTGGTGCTTGGACAAGGTCACTCGGATTATCTTCCCATACATCTTTTGGCCATTTAGGTGGCTCATTGCTTTGACCATGACAAAGGAAAAGAAGGGAAACGGTTAGGATGCTGTGGTCATGTAGTATTTACTAACTATGAAGTGCTTTTTTGATTTTAGTTAGTACAGTCAAAATTATCCATAAAATGAGAAACATGAGTGCTCATGTTTATGTGGTCAGACTTGGGAATAATGAAATGTTTAGAGAAACTTTCTGCTGTTAAGAAAGTGAACATCGTTATATACATATTCTTAGATGTTCACACTAAGTGATAACAACCCTTCATAAAGTTTCATTCCGAGCCACGCTCCGAAACTGTTTTTCAACATATGAAGCACAGCAGAGTCTCCTCAAAGACCGCTTAGTCTATTTGGGAGTGATAAGAGGTCCAACTTATTGGTGGTGGGGAAACAGTTTGGTTTACATTTAAATCATGGATCTATTGAAGTATCTATAATACAGAATACTAAGCCACTATAGAGTTTGATCTAATCATTGTGATAGGGAGTCCATTCAAACATAAAATGTCTGTCTCCCACTCCACCAAAGATCAGTAAATACAGTGTCACTTCTCAATGTATTTATTATTTATTAGCAATATTATTTACATAATGTGAAGTAGTTAACACCATTTTAAACATCTGTGTGAAATTTTATCAAGTTGTGAGTTCACAGTGACCATGACATTTGACAACCACATTCTAATCAGTTCATTCATCAATCAGGCAATTGGTTGCTTGTGCCAAATTTGCCGAAACACTATCACTGGTGCAGAGGGACAAGAATTGAAAATGGCGTTAGTTATATGTCTAATATATGTAATAAATAATAATATTAATTACAGTTGCAAACAGCGATGAACGGGCCCTCGCACCTCCAGCACGTCGGGGTGTGCCACAGTTACTGGAGGTTGGTCGACACGGCACTGAATTTTCCTGTGTTTTGGACACTGCGCGAAGGAGTTAAATGTCACTTCCTGTGTCCACCGGGAGGTGCTTGAGAGCACCGACTAATTATACATCATGTTCTACAATAGCAACCGTAGACCACGCCCTGAAAATGTCACGTAGCTGAAATGATGATTGTCACATAAGTTTTACTTCCTGTTACCAGTAGGTGGCGCAATGACTACAACTCCTTATTGGTATGTCCTCAGGCTGGGACTATTATCAAACCACTCTCTGTATTTTTGTATTTTTATTCAACTGCAGTTGAGGCGTTAAGTGGACATGGTGACGCTGTATCGTAATCAGCACAGTGACCCAAGGAAAGATGCTGCCAAAACTTCCAGAGAGGGAAAAAAGAGCAAGGACCACAGCGTGGGGAGAGCAACGGTGTTTCCACTGGTAATGTAAAATGGTGGCACATGATTTAATATAGTTTTATATCGCCAGCAGGTGTTTAAAAATGCCGTAGCAAATGGCAATTTGCGGCTGTGAACCCTGCTCTCTGCACCTCTGCGTGTGACTGAATGCAGTCTTGTGCAGCAACTGCAACGCCAGTGTGTGTTTGTTTACATCGCTGAAATGGAAGGGAATAAAATAAAATAAAAAAAAGTTATCAAACGCAAAAGTTTCTGAGGGCTACAATATCTGAAAACATGACTGCCACACTGATAAATTAAGAAGTAAACAAAATACATTGTAAAAAGAATCTTCCTTAAAATACACTTCTTTTTTTATAAATTTTTAAATGCTTTATAAACAGGAATAGATCTATATGAATAATATTTTGCCAGCAGAACATTCAGTATTTGGGGCCATGTTCTCAGTCTCAAACAGAGCTTGACCATGGGCATGTGACATGCTTCAGTAAGAATAAATATTACAGGACACTACAGAAAACTGAACTATAAATGAAAACAAGAGCTGGTGTTTTGTTGATTTGCTGTTTGTTAACTGTAAATGAACACATTAGCTTTTTATGTTGCATTTGATATAATATGCTTCTGTCGGGCAGCGTGAAGCGACACGAAGGGGTAATATAATAATAATAATAATAATTCCTTTTGTTTCAATAGCAGTTGCTCCCCCCACAGACAAACAGTGCTACCAACATCACAAGACAACTAGATGTGAATGGCTGAATTGGATAGTTATATAATAATATCTGCTCACCTAGCTGCGCCTGGTTGGCGTCTGACATCTGAATGAGAGCGCTGTCCTTCTTATTGTAAAGAATTTTCACCCTCTGGACATCGCCATACACTCCTGCATAAGAGCCACCAGCAGGGTGAAGGAGAGGAGGTGAGGTGGGGAGAAAGCAGACAGTTAGAAAAACAAATAGTTAGCACTGGAGACAAGGATATTTAAGGACAAGAAACAAAGGAGAGAATAGCAGAACACACACAAGAAAATTAAAGTAGACTTAGATTGAGAGGTGTGTAGAAAGAACAGGTTAAGAGAGAAGAGAAACCCTCTAAACAGATAAGTTATCAAGCTGTGTCATATGGCTATGAATAAAAACAGCATGCAAAAATAATGATTTAACCGTGCATTAACAGATTACTACGTGGTGAATTTCAGGGTAAAGCAATGAACATTAACCCAAACCAATAAACAGGGGGCCAAAATGTATTACAAATTACCGAACAAGCTACTGTGTGCAAACAAATATACATAAGCTTGTAATAATAATAATAATAATAATAATAATAATAATAATAATAATAATAATAATAACAATAACAACAACAATAATAATAATAATAATGACAAATGTCTCAAAGATAGAATGGTAATAGAACAAAAAGAGAAGGTAAAGAGAGAGAAAGAGAAGAAAGAGAGAGAGAGAGAGAGAGAGAGAGAGAGCGCTAACGATAACATACCGAAGAGGGTAAACAGACTTTGGGGCGTAACCATCTTTAGAGGGAGAGAAGAGCAACAAGCAGCGTGAGACAGGTAGAGAGGTAGAAGAGTCGGAGCGGAGCGGAGGTAGAGATGGACAGATCGATCCAGAACGGAGGTAGGTAGGAGGAATGGTGGTTTTTGTTTTCCCCCCGGAGTGATGGAGGTGGTGGGTCATGGAGGAGGGGAGCAGGCAGCGGAAGAAGAGTCAAGGAGGGGGTTGGTTAATGTGGGAGGAGGAGGTGGAGGAAGAAGGGGTGATTTGAAGGGTTAAAAGTCCCCCATCAGCACATGGAGGGGGAGGCAGGATGAATGGAGGGGTGGGGGTAGAGAGAGAGAGGGGGAGGAGATGAAAAGGGAGGCAAATGCAAATTGGGGGGAAAATAAAAAAAATTAAAAGTGAGGACGGGGAAGGGACAAAAAATAAAATATAGGTCAGTACACTGGAATAATGCAGGTAGTTTGGTCAGAGATAATGGCTTGGATCAATGTTTCTTTAGTCAAAATACAGCAAATTATCTTTCACCTTGGACTTGCATGGGGTAAAGGCATATTAATGTCAAAATTATAATAAAATCAGCAATATAAAGTCATAACCATGGGATAAAAACATGCAGCAGGTTGGAAATCTAAAGATCTACAATCTTTCAGCGAGGGAAAATGGTACAATGAGAGTGTGAGAAGCTGAAGGGGAAAAAAAAGAGTTAAGAGACCATGCAGTTAAAATGCAAGAGTTGATATGAAGGCCACTTTAGTAAAATGTGGCGTTCACACAAGTCCAGGAGGCTAAAAGAAAGCTTTAGCACAGTATCTCAACATCAGGGGTTCAGTTTGAATGATTGAGATACTGTCAAAAGGCTCCGGTGTGACACATTAATTCACAGCCAGAGAGAACAGACTGATGAGGAAAGAGACAGAGACATTAGGTGAGACAAATCAGATGTTATTTAAGTCAGAGCTTAAAAAAAAAACACAGAGGCAGAAGGAGAAAAGACAGCGAGCAGGCATTTCAGAGAGGCAGGTATTTGTTCCCAGAACCGAGACACAGGTTAGACCACAGAATGATTTCATATGAGCTTTCATATGAGCTGAGGAGAGGTGAGGAGAGCTTAGAGAGAAAAACAGAAGAGAGACAGTTAGCTGAGTTAGATCCAGTTTGACAAGAGAAGGGAAGGGCTGATGTTCGGGGAAGGAAAGAAGGGAGGGTTTAGGTGCGGTGACAGAAACAGCAAATCCCCTCTCTCTTACAGGGACATAATGAGTCTTGACCGAAAGGGAAAAAACAACAACAACAAAAAACAGGCCCTGGGCGTGTAAAAGGACAAGAAAATGGTTAGACACAAGTTTTGCTTCATATCAAAACTAGCTGGAATAACAAGAGGTACAGTCCATCTCTTCCAAGGTGCATCATCACCTGTGCCCTTGGACAGTTCAGTGATGAGTAACTATCAGAACAGACAACATAAATTAAATTGCACACAACCTCACAGCTCCTCTGAGGTTGAAAATAAAAATCCATGGAAGGATTTCCTAGGCATATGGGCTAGTTTTCTGGATCAGTTATTATCAGCCTGACTACAGAGAGAGATTTTGTAGAACCAAAAGCTCAAACAAATGAATGAGAGCACGAAAGCAGCCTCTCATTCTCACAGACAAGTTGTTGAGCTCTGCTTTCTTATTTTGAAACAGTTTAAAGTACTTGCATAAAAACTGAACTGTCAAAGATCACAGAAGTGTTACAGGTAAATATGCCAACTTAGGCATTCAAAAAACATTCTTGATGTATCTTGTACGACAGTAACAGCAATGAAAATGGTAGCACAGGGAGGAGAACTGGCCACAACCAGAAAATAAAATGAAAAACAGTACAGAGGGATGGAGGTGGTGGGTAGGGGTTGTGGACTTCAAGCCTTAGATGATATATCTGAATAATGTGTGTGTGCAGGTGGGTTACTGACCTCCTCATTGAGGTTGCTGACCAGCAGGACCCCACTGGACCCCGCCTGTCCAGCTAGGGCCACCCTCCCCGCAGCAGCTGCAGCCGCTGCTGCCGCACTCAGAGGGTTCAAGGCTCCTGACAGCAAGTACACAAGAAAATCATGGAATGGAGAGCAGCACTTCCATTAAACCACAGCATCGTAACACTGAGCAATGTAGGACTGAAATCCAGCAGCGGCAGCCACCGTTCAGTATTTATTAATTCTGTTGAAGCTGTTAAAGAACAGTGTTGACTAATCATTCCAATCTGTCCAGAATTTGATCAAATGTCTCATCAAAATTAATTCATGCCATGCGCAATCTAATCATAGGGCCTTCTAATTTAGAACTATCTGGCCGTAACCACAGGTTAAAAGCATTTAGCCGTTGGGTATACATCACAACAACAACAACAACAAAATAAAAGGAAGAAAAATAAAAATGCGATCTACCTGGGATCTTACCGAGGAGGGAGTTGGAGTCTTTGCTGAAGGCAGCGGCCACCGTGTGGTCGAGGCTGGGCTGGCCGTCCCCAGCAGGCAGTTCAGGTCGGGTGTAGTCACGACTCTTATCATTGTTGTACTTGACATTTAGATTAACCAGCTTGGAGAAGTCAATACGCAGCGTGCAACATGAATTGTAGATGTTCTGACCATCCAGTGCCTGGCGGTTGGAAAATCATCACACTCCTTGTTCAACTATTACATTTGGTATTGCACAGCACCAACTAGAGTTAACTAGACAGTAGGTATCAGTAATGAAAATGCTACTAGATCACATGACCAACTCTTACCAGTTTGGCCTGCTGTGCATTGACAGGATCGCCGAACTGCAGAAGGGCCTGGAACTGATTGTTCTTGGTGAATGTGATTATCTTCACGACTGAGCCAAACTTGGAGAAAATCTGCCAACAAAACCAAAAAATACAAACTTTAACATTCAAGTACAAACGGTGGATATTATGTCCCACACCAACTGAACCATTTGTTACTGTGTGGGGTCACAACAACTATTGCTTGCCTGTTGCAGTACATCCAGCGTTACGGGGTAGAACATGTTATCGATGATGATCCGCAGGACAGGACTGTAGGCAGCAGCAAGAGCTTCCTGTACATCTGAGCTTGGTGAACCACCAGACTGGACTGCCGACACGGCCTGAAGCACCGCCAGGGTCCGCTACAGCCAAACACAAGCTGTCAGTCCCTATCTCTAACAATGGACCTCAACAGTCCACATGGTGACCCATTTTACTAATTACGAATGTAAAGAAAACAGGACAAGCATGGAAATACCTTGACTTTCACACCGCAGACTTGTCCAATACTAAAAGAGGTAGCCTTCATGGTTGTTATTATTTTTAAGTTTTTGACCTCAAATTACATCGGATTTAAAAAAAAATAAAAGTATTAAAACAGCCAAACAAAAGGCACTAGTTTTCTACGGAGTATTTACGAAGCACAAGAGTAGTAGCCATGTATTAGAAGCTTTTCTGCAATTGAAATTGAGCCAATTAAAGAAATGAACTGTTGTAGTAATGGTTAAAATAAAAACCTGCAGAAACCAAGCAAAATTTCCTTAACACTATAGTCCATTAGTCAGGCTCTACTAACCTGATTGCCAGCATCAGTTTTGAGTTCCTTGTGATTGGAGTACTGAATAAAGACAGGGACATTGCGGACATGAGGCGTTACAGTGGTGTAGTAGTTAACCATCGTGATGGCTGCCTCTTCTGTCCCCATCTCCAAGAACGCCTGGAAGAAGAAAAACGATAAATGCCCCACCACTGCTACAAAGTAATTATCTCATCTTTTCTACTTAGTTTCCACTAAATTTGGACAAACCTTCAAACCTAAATGTCCTGCAAGTAACAGAAAATAAATAAACACCCAACTACATAACCACTACACTAGAGGTCACAACTGCAGTACTCACCACAGTTAAGTGTAATTCAACAGAAATATTATCAAAACAACACAGATGTAATTGTCTTAAACACTGCCATGAGGCAGCTGCTGATCGATAAAGGCGACATAAGTACTGTGAGGAGAACAAAGCAGCCATGCTTGACAGGAATCTAAGGTCCTCAGCAGGCAGACAACAGGCTTTTGTATGGAGCTTTGGGCATGTTTCAGATGCAGTTCAAGATAGCAAGAATGAATGCGCAGTGCTTTGTGTGATACAGTAAGATGTCAGCTGACACTTGCTCCTTCACAGATCAAGACAAAAAAATTTAACAAGATGTGATCACTTTCCTCCAGAAAAAGAAAATGTTGTCTGCATCCCACCCCAGTATGAATAATTGTGGTTCTTACAAATCCACCATGTCCATCCATGTTCTGCACTCACCTGGTTTTTTCCCTTCAGTGTGAGGATATTGGTGACTTTGCCAAAAGGCAAGCCGAGGGCGATGACTTCAGTCTCTGAGGCCTCGTTGGGTAGTTTCCTGATGTGGAGTACACGAGACGGTGGGGCCTCCTCCACCCTCAGCTTTTTACTGTCACTGCCATTGGAAGCCACGTCTAAAATGTTAGCACAAATACTGGTTAACTGTGCTAATCGATGCAATGCCCGAGTAATTTATAGGATAATGCTGCATCGCATGAATTCAGGCAGATGGTGGACGGGAAAAAAAAAGGGCAGGACAGTTTAATTAGGAGAGATTTCAAAAAATACTGACAATGACAACCATAAACGGCATTGCCATCCAAAGTTAAATTAATAAAATATTTTGCTATGCTCCGCAACGGAATTTACAACCTGATGTTATGAAGCAAACTCACACAAGGGGAACACACGTACAAACTGGACAACAAGAAGCTAATCATTTTGGTGCAACACCACCTGGAATAACTGGATCCCTAGTTAGTTAGCCTACGCTATGAGAATTTAGAATCTTTTTCTCTCATGAGCACATACAGCAGCGGTCGGCAAATACGTCTGGCATCGGGCCAAATTTTTTCAGGCCGTTACATGGCGGGCCAGAACAAAGTCGTATCATTTTAAATCCTTGTATGCTTATGTGCAAGTTTAGTTCAGTCCGTACTGTATGGGACTCCCGTTTGGAAGGTCGTAGAATTGGTTACTGCGTGTAATTTTTTTTCTCCCTTGTTAAACAAATTGATTATAAGGACACTCTTGCACATGCTCACAATAAAGCATGTGCTGCAGTTTGTGTGCGTCCCAGTGTTTGCTCCGCATTCATAAACCTATGGACGCTTATTTTCATTTCCCTGGGGAAATTCAGGGGAATCCAATCACATGTTTACTGACGGCTTTTTCAGAGGTGTGTCAAGCAAGCCAGAGACTCTTTTGAATGTTGTTCAGAACTCTTCAAAGTAAAAGCTCTCAATAAACTTGTCATATAGCATTGCTGCACAAAAATTTCTTGCGCTTTTATTTTGGAGGCACAATCACGTAAGAGGAATTGATTGTGTGAGTAACTCTGTCATGACTGAGATCTATTTCACCACCAGCCGCTATCAATTTATTTATTTTTTATTTTTCTGCTATCAAAGCAATCTGGCCACGGGCCAGATATTATTGCTGGCGGGCTGGTTCTGGCCTGCGGGCAGCTTATTGCCGACAACTGACATACAGCCTATTTACTCACGCCCGCCATTATCTCTCCCCTATCTATATACTAATTGGCGTGAGCTAAAGGAGCTGAAAGGATGCAGGACAGATACCGGAGCTGGCCTTCTTGCTGTTGGACTAGTCAGTAATCACTTATTAGATGGCTTGCTGTGTCATGTGTTCTTGCTCTTGCTTGATGTTTGACAGTTAGCAAAGTTTTTTAAATCACGTGAAATCAGCCAGAGGTTTCACAGACAGAGGTTTAGCCACTAGCAATAAATCTCCAGTGGAATGTTAGAAATCTTCCTAGATAACTCACTCGGATATCAGTTACTGTATGTGCTCTAGAGTGTATTGCTGTCTAGCTTTGTTGGCTAGCTTGATAGCTTTTACAACAGCAGTGAATTACACTCTGAAACAGTAGGGGCGCCAAATCGCACAAAAACCAAATGTTGCTTTAAGCACTACATTGTACAAGAGTCCACTGTCATTTTAGTGTGTTTGGATGTTTTTTCCTGTGTGAATGCACACTGCCAGATGCTGACTGCTCACATAGGCAAGAATGACTGTGGCAGCTTACGTGCATAGAGACATCATTTATGTACCATATATCATCACCAACACTGATGTTTGGGGTACAGAATTTAATCACCTCAATTCTCAACTCAAAAACGTAATTGAGAAAAAGTGCGCACAAAAGGTAGCCAATGACAGCTTACATAGCAGGCCCAGGATATCGTGTTCTTGTTCAGGAATCATTTCATTCAGGAATTATTTTCAAATGTGAACTGATCTGACCTAGTCCAGATTCACAATCGCCTGCCTATAGCATCCAACTCAAAGCAATTTGTCTGAGAACTTGCATGTACTTGCATGTTAAACTGGTGGTCTTTTTCTTACTTTAAGAACACATTTTGTCAGTGTGAAATTCAATATAAATGTGATTTAATTATGATATACTTGTATTGAAGAATCACTAGCTACCCTACCACACAATGTAAGATACCAATCGCAGTTTGTTTTAGAAAGTAATGCAATAGAAGTTAGATTACTTTCCTCATTGACTACTCAGTCCAGTCATTCAGTAATGCAATAATTAATTATTTTTACTAAAATTATTTTTTAAAACTAACATTAAAAACACCTAACAGAGCATACTGATCATATTCTATCACTTCAGCACAGAAACATTTTATTTACACAAAAATTAAATGCAACATGCTGAAGAACGATGGATTGTATTGCAACTGCACACTAACGACATTATTTACTAATGTATCACACTATTACCAAGTAACCAATGTTACAAATTGTACTGTTGAAATATATTCATCTGAAGCTTGTTTTTTTTTTTGAGAACAGAAACAATGTAAGTAAATGAATAATCTTGATGATAACAGATTCACAGTTTTCACAATCAGTCTGGGACAAGTATGTCTGCGGTGTGAAAGTTGTCCATGTACAAAATCAATATTGGTATTTCAACTCTGAAAAGGAGGAATTTGCTATTAAAAGATGTGAAGGAAACGGTTGAAAATGTTCCATAAAAATAAATACGACATTTTTTACCTGTACCTGAAGTTGAAGTGGTTTTGTGTACATTTTTAAAAGCATCGTATTTTATGTCTGCATCTGCCAGTCAGTATCAGCCATGAGGATCAGGTAATTTTCCATAAGAAAAAAAAAATCCATATATCAGAATCAGAAATACTTTATTGATCCCTGAGGGGAGGGGGAAGGAGAAATTTGTTCTCTGCATTTAACCCATCCTATTTAGGAGCAGTGGGCTGCCATTGTACGGCGCCAGGGGAGCAGCTCGGGGTTCAGGGCCTTGCTCAGGTGACGCCTTCGGCATGGGTCGTGCTGGACTTGATCCGGCAACCAGTTTCCAAGCTTAGTCCTAACAGACTGAGCTAATGCCACCCCAATATATCTCTATTCACATGCTGAGAATGAATAACGTAGTTTTTGTACTCAACACCAGAACTACTCATGTTAAAGGTTAAAAGCTATCTGTTACAAATCCTTCTTTTTTTTTTTAAAGCCATCCTAGCACGACTGGAAAATACTACATTTAAGGAACAGTCCATCCACCTCTGCAAGGCTAGTTATTTAAGATCACCAATGGCTGATATTACGAAGCTGCCTTAATAAAAGTAATCTGAGAATCTTTATCTCAATTTATTAGACAGGTCCCTGGGGTGACATTAGCTTGGATGTAGCAATAGAATGGGACTTTGATTAAAGAGACAATCACACAAAACCTGTGTGTATGCCTTTAACATTGTTCTTATTTTACTGGCAGTGTTTAATGGCCTAGACCTGTCTTCTCTTTGTGGCAGCTCTTTCAGTCATCCACAATTCTGCAACTTTCTCTGAGATGCTTCTGATATGTCTAAACAGTGAGGAGGCGTTCAAATGCAGTGGTATTCACTATGTCTGTTCCAGTCACATGCTGTGGTGTGTGGGTGCCCACCTACTGACAAGCGTGATGTTATTCAGACACTAAATAGTTCCCATGAGAAAACGGTTCAACTCACACAGCCTGTTCCACTTTTCAAACACCTATTAGTCCTTGATTGCTTTTAAGCCATCTGTCACTACCAATCAAATGGCTTTCTGTAAATTCCGTCAAGCCCCTCCCTATACAGGGGTGGTCGGAACGAACTCACCACTGATACTGCTCATGCCAGAGTTGGGACTGTTGTACATACTCAACTCGTCTGATCCTCTCTGCGGAAAAAGAAACAAAGACAAGACACAGTTGTGAAATAATGGGGAAAACTATTTCCATTTTCCAGACAGGCCCTCAAAGACAACAATAAAACAGAGGTCTCGAAAGACAGTTTAAAGTAACATAAGGAGGGTAGAGGAGTAGGTGGAAAGGGACATAAAACAGCAGAGGAGAGGTCTGGCTCCTCCTTTCCTGGTGTAGATTTAATCTTGCTGAATTTAAGATGTCAAGATGTGTCATTTCATCCTGAGCTATGCTAGGTCCCAAAAGGCTTGCAGGAGCTGACGGCTGCCCTGTGCTCTTAAACCTGACTGATGGGATGAAGAGGAACCTGGCTGGGGACCTATTACACACACACAACTTTATAATAGCTTCATACACCCCTCCTTGTTTCTGTCCGACTGACTTTGAACAAATTGTTCTTCTGTCACTAACATTCTTTATGGTTACGATAAACTAGATGTTGCAGGCCCTGCTACAACGACATGACACAAATAAATTGAAAGGGTAATAAAGTTGTCTGACATGGGCCGAAATGTGAGCACACAAAGCAGGGGCTACACAAATCTAAGAAATGATTTCTCTCCCAACAGCTGGCAACCCTCTGTTTTGTCTTTGACTCTGAAATATTGATGAAATAAACAGGACGGCAAAGACCCATATCAGGGGAATCAGTATTTTATGACTGCTCTGTTTCCCTTCGAGAGAACTTTAACTTTATTTTGTGCAGACGGAAATGTAGCTGGCACTCAACAAATCAGGTTAGGTAGCCAGAACAACACTGTGCTTACAAAAGGATACCAGTTTGTTTGGCGAGCAGAAAGGACACAAACCCTACCAAACCATGAAGCAATTCTAATGCTATGAAAGCGCAAAAACGAATATTATAAAGAAATCTGATTGTTCCGAAGGTGACGAAGGTACAATGTTGGAAAAAAAGGGAATTTAAAATCAAATGTTGTCTAATCTTTTTGGCATGCCTCTTTATTTTATAGACAATTGTTGCGTTACAAAGGTAAAGTTTAAAATACAGCATTATTTTGGGGCAGTGGTGGCCCTAAGGCTAGAGAAGCAAGCTCGTGATGGAAGGTCGCCCGAACCACCAGGATCAAATCTGGGTGTGGAAAGTAGAGTGTGGAGTGCTTGCCCTCCCTCATTTACCACCACTGAGGTACCCTTGAGCAAGGCCCATAACCCCAGCCGCACAGGGGCCATCAGACCAGGCTGCGGGTGTACTGGGCCGCTCACAGGTGTGAATGTGATCAGAGCCTTCCTGCAAATGAGAGGTTGCTCTCAGTGAAGCTCCCTGGCTAGATAATGGTTAAAAATAGGCTCATGTTAGATTTTCTTATTTTTGTTCAGTAAAACATTATATTTTCTCAGATGTAGGACACAGGGTCTTGTTACAAGACACATTGATAAAAGCAACATCAAGAATGGTTTCTAAATGTGCCAGAAACATTGTTAGTGCTGAAGAGACTGTTCAATCAACAGAAAATTACTCAGTAAGATGTATGATATTTTATTAATCATTTCATTTTGCTAAAAAACAAAAGAAATGCACTAGTTCCATTGTCTCAGGTGTGACTTACTGACTTTCTTTGTCTTGTATGATCAACTGAATCGAAAGTCTTAAATGCATAACTTGGGTATAAATACAGACACGATGATGGAAAGGTTTGTTGATATTAACTTACTGTCACAGTAACGTTTGAGTGTTGCACAGTGTTACTTTGATATTGGAGGGTTTTGATGACACAGACCGCTGCAGCAACAACGGCAGAGAAAAACACAGCTGGGAGGTTTTCATACCGCTTATCTGTCTTTACATTCTGAGTAATGTTGAAACGTTTTAACCGTAGATATATTTTAAGAGCTGGTGTGTGTGTTGCATTGAACATTACGTCGTGACAGTTGTGTGAGGCGTCTCTTTGACGACAAGCTGCGTACTATCTCTGGGTACTATCTGCAATGGAAAACGGAGCAGGGCTGAGCAGAGTAGAGTCTACTGATTTTCGCTATGGTAGCATTTTTTGGCAAGGCAGCATAGATCGTCAGAACACCGGCAACAGTTTAACATTTAGTCCTAAAAGACGATGCAACTCCGACTCTGTTTGAGCCTGGAAATTCACAATCACATCCTGATAATGATGTGTGTCTGTGGACTGGTAATAACTTATACCATCTGCTAGGTTACGGTCGCAGTCTGAAGCGGCTTTGATTTGGATCACACTACCTTGTTTCTTACGACCCGCCCTTCTCTGCTTCTGATTGGCTAGTAGTCCTTACCTGGGAACTGCGCATGTGCAACTCCCAACAAAGATTGCATCACTCTGTAGCTCAAGAGAGGAGCGTACATCGTGCTAGTGCAAAAACAGTAGTATTAAATTTTCTTTTTTCAGAAAACTCAACATCCTGCAGTTGTTTTGCAGCTCATGGTGCGCACCATTGTCCAATCCAGAGTTTTAGTTACATGATGAGTGAACTTAAAACTGCATTCTCTCTAATGGCCAGCAGGGGGCGATTCCGCAGGTTGCAAAAAGAAGTCTGGCTTCATCAGAAATAATGGTGAAATGTTGCTACTTCTCGGCTGATTTATTTCCTCAATAAACACTTTAGGGTTTATGGTCTCAGTTGCTAGTTTCAAGTCTTCTTCAACACAGCATGATGGTCCCATTTAGGAGAAATAGAGGATAATGCAGCGTATGCTTTTGGGCGGGACTACCTTGTGACTGACAGGTCACTGTTTTTATTCAATGGCTGTCAGCAGGAGAGAGAGCACGTCATGTTTGAGTCTGTTAGTATGTTTTGTTTTAAAAGTAAATTGTTTTGTTAACCTTTATATTTTTTATAATTTTAACTGTGATTACATTTTAGTTTATTTTTTTATATATCCAGGATGTATTTAATAACCAATGCATGTTAACCGTATAACATAACTTATAATTCTTTGGTTTTGTTGTAACACTGATAAATTACTTTAGGAAGGACGGACAGTAAAAATTGTCTTGGGGCCAGTAAGTTTCAAACCCACTGGTCCGGCGGGGCCAGTTGCAAAAAAGTTTAACGTTGAGCTCTGAAAGGGGATCTATTATACTGCATTTCCAGCCCTATATTGTTGTTCTTGACTCCTCTATGGTATGGCTCACATTTCTTTTAAAAAGGTCCATAGTTGAATAAAAAGGAGTTTGGTATGTAACTGACAGACTGTGAGCCATCCTTCATATGTAAATCTCGCGCAACCAAAATACCCCCCAAAAAATGGGCGAATGCCAACAAGCGCTAGATGTTACATAACATCTGGGATGTTTACGCCCTCAAAGTTACATAGACCAGCCCACGTTCCAGAGTTAGCGGTCACACGAGCTCATAGAGTTAGAGCTGTAGGCTGTGCAGTGCAGTGTCTCTCAGAAAGTGATTTTACAGTTATGAAGGAAAATATTTTCTGGTTTTCCCTCTGATGCCCTCTGGCCACTCTACCTCAACTCTGATTTATGAAGTTTCCTGATGGACAGATAGCTTTACTTGTTGCTAACACCACGGACTGCTATCCGCTAGTTGTTGTTACAGTAGCTCCTGTTATAAGCTGGCTCTGAACCAGCGGCCCAAAGCTTCTGTAGTAATGTTCGAGGTTCAAAATGCCCACCAACACAACTTAACACGATATATAGGGATGAGGATCATTAATTTTTTATTGATATTGATACCCTTTATTGAGACTGCTTAACGATCCGATTCTTTATTGATACTTTACTATTATTTAGTGATGGTTATTTGGTAAGACCAGACCCAATGGGCATGAGGTAGGCCTGCGCAGTATGAGGAAAATATTCTATGTGCGATAACGTATTGAGTGAAAATATATTGATGTCCTCCTCTCTCGCTGGCTGCAGGTAACGTTACCAGGTAAAAGGAGGAGCGGCTGATGTGTCTCAGCCAGCAGCTGAGTTTTTAAGACCTCAGACCAGTCAAGGCTCCAGACAGTCGGCTTTCTATTTAGCTTGTTTTTAACATTTGGCTAATGCCAAGCTAGTGTTAGCTGTGCTTGTATAAAACATACAGGATGAGATACTGAGGACAAAGAAGATTAAATTAACCATTTCTACATGTTTAACGTTACCTTACAGACAGGTGTATTGATAAAGTATTGTCTTTCTCTGCAGCCGCTGTGTGTGTGTGTGTGTGAATGTAGCAGCCGACAGAGATTGATTGATTTTCTTATCCATTTTTATCAACTAATGGTTTAGTCGACTATTAGGGTCATTGTCCTGTTGGGAGATGAACCTTCAACCCTGTCTGAGGCTGTGTATTTTCGGGACCAGGTTTTCATTAAAGGATATCTCTGTATTTGTACTGCTCTGTTCAGCTTTCCCTCAAACCTGACCAGTCACCCAGTCTCTGCAGCTGACAAACACGCCATACCATGATACTGCCATCACCATGCTTACTGTTGGGATGGTATTGTGCAGGAGATGAGCGTTGCCTGGTTTACTCCAGATACGATGCTTAGAATTGATTTGAAACCGTTCAATCTTGGTTTCATCAGACCAGAGAATCTTGTTTGTCAGTCTGACCAGCAACTTGCACAGGGCTGCTGGAGCTAATCGCGGCCATTCTAAACAATGCTTGTCCTTCCACCACGCACTGTCCAAGACACAGCTCCACGGAGAATACGCAGCCAGTCTATTTTTGTCGGAAACCGCGTCAAGATGCACAGAGCAGATTGAACCGGGCAGGAAGGCAGACCTCAGAGCGGCATAAAGAATCCAGTCATTTTTCAAAGTAAACACCCTGTGCTGATTCCCCATCGTATATCAACAACAAACACAATTAAAACAGAAAGAAAAAGAAACCATTTAATTATGTAACCTACTTAACCATGGTACAAGCACAAAAATCTAGCACCAACTACCAAAACAACAAAATCTGAACATGTTAGCAAAATCAGCCAGGGAAAACCATACTCTGATTCTGAAATGCTCCCTGTGGAGTATGCAGCCTACAGAGAACAAAACCAAAGCAGAAAACTCACCTTCACTCCAACTGTAACATCGCTGATGCTGAAAGAGAAACGATTTTTACACGTTAAAATGAAGGGATTTAACTGGGCAAAACAAGTTTAAAAGATATAAAAAGGAAATTCCTTTTATGTGTAAACCTACTTTGCAATAAAGCTGATTCTGAACAAACCTCAAAACACAAAGTGTTCAAGGTTAGGCTACTGGACAGAGCTTTTTAGTACAAATAAAATACAAATGAGAATGAATTTCAGTTATACACGGCTCAGTATTTCTCACAGAATGACGGTGGTGGGGATGGGGGTATATTTGTAGATATTGTTTTTGAAAATATTTGAAAAAAATACATTACCCTAAATCTAGTCTGTTATTTCTTCTCTCACCATTTTAATTCTACTTAATTCTCTGTCTTATTTTAGTGTTTCCTCACTTTCTTCGTCTGCAGTTCCATCAAGTCGCCCCAAAAACCCAACTCGCATTTTGGAACATTTTCACCCGCAATCTGTTTTCAGAGCAGCAGGTGAGCCGCGTGGAGGAGGCTTGTTTTTTTAAAAAGATCAAAACCAAAGTGGTAACAAATGATTGGCACAGGTGTGTTCACTGTTGCTTTGCCAGGGCAAATATCCACCATATCCACATCTTCTAACATAATCCCAGGTAACGTCTCCGTCTTTCTCTGCAAAATGCTAAAATGTGTCGCCAAATATCACAAAACTGGCCCATGCAAATAGGCTACTAAAGGATCATAGCAGGTTATTTTACAAAATCCATCTGTATCTCCTTGAAATAATGTAAATGCGGCCCTGCATGCTACATGCATAAAAATTAATCGATATATCAAAAGGTGCTACCCTTTCATTAATAATAAATATTACATACTATATACTGTACATATTTTATGGTATTTTTTATAGAATCATTTTCATATTTTTATTGTAGTTTTTCCTATTCTGTTTTTATGTTCTTAACGGTTGCAGTAATTTGCCTTAGGCTACTTATTTTGCTTATTATATAATACTTATATTTTTGTGTTTACTGAATGTAAGTTACCAAACACAAAGGCAAACTGGCAAACAGTGAAATCCTATTTGTTAATAAAACTTATTCTGATAAATATGAAATAGTATAAATAACAATAATACATTTAATAGCACTGTAATAATAAACAACTAAGTTACTATTTTAAATGACACATACAATCGTATGCTTCCTATGACTGGTCCGAACGGTGTTCACACCAGAAATGAACCGTTCCACCTGACAGCGGTCCGACACTACTCCTTCCAGACGGTGCTTAGTCCGCACCAGAGTCTGAGTCCGGTCTTCACCTGACTCGCCTAAGTTTATAACACTATTAGGAGCATTAGCAACAGCCATTAGCGATAACAACTTGCGACTGTTATCTCATTCTAGCACATGATGATTTAAAACAAATAAATTTATCGCGCTTATCAAAAGGTCCAGTAACCTTAGATTTACTGGACCAGCTCGGTCAGTTTAGGCTAACGTTAGCTAAGTTAGCTCGTCTAGCTACAACACAAAGGATCAACGTTATTGTACATTAGTTTGTAGAACGTTTGCTAAACTTCATTAGGACACTGCAGCAAAATACTATTGTGGAGGAGTAGATTATAGAAATGTATAAACACGTCCTCCTCTGACGTCGTCATACACGCCAAGCGGTTTTATCAAAGTGACAATGCAGCTAATATACTACACGTCGGGCTAAAGCTAAATTAGGCTAGCATGCTATCATTAGGTAGTTCCTTAATGGAAGACAGCGCGTGGCTATGGAAACCCGTTAACACAAGCATACGACTCCTCAGCTTCTCCATAAAATTGCGCATTCACTTTACCCCGTGCTCTGGATAATTCAAATTGAATGTGACGTTAAATTAGTTAGGATCGCTGATAAAATATTACCCGTCCATTTCTGTAGAAAATTCTCAGCGCCTCCGCTTTCGGTTCTGTTGTCTCTCCAGTTTACACCAACACTGCGCACGCACACATACATACGAGAGCAAAATGGAGGCAAGTTGCAAGACGAGCAAAAGGCGGAAATGGGCGGAAAGTTCCGAAGTCAATGAGCGGACTGTCTGCCCCACAGTAAACTGAAACAAATCTACTATTGTGGCATCTACATGTGCCCGGGAACGTCTATGTTGTGTTGGTTAGTAATGACGATGCTGTAACTGACCTCCATTTATTCTGACAGGGACAGAACATATTGCAGAACGTTCCATGAAATTGCACAAATGAAATATAGGCTATAAACTCTAAAATTGAGTGCAAGTTTAAATTTTCATAACTTAAAACTGGCAGCAATGATCTGTCAAAATAACTGTATATGGACTAGATCTAGTAACAGATGTAATATTGTGTGAAACAAAAGTAAAGCCTATAGGACTACAATAAAAATTGCCAGAAATAAAAAGGATGGATTTTAAGGATAAAATATATAGACTAGCTACTTCAGTTTCATGGTCCTGGTATTGCACATGCTGGCTCACCTTCACACTGTCATGACTTAGTGGGACATGACTACTGGGACAGCCAAAATGTCTGGTGTAAAAAAAAAGGGCATGAAAACATAATTTCACCTTCAATAAGGACATCTTGAAAATGTCTGATTGACATTAGAAAAGTGTGTTCTCGGGATGTAGCCCACTAAATTATTTCGGTGATCACTAGTGGACAGTGGAACAAGCTGCAAACACAACACTGACACATTATCACCTTATAAAGATAGTGTGTTAACAAACACTCTGGGCAGGCAGTGTAGGTAGCCTACAGTGGGTTTATCAGGGCTTATTCACTGAAAACAGCTGCCCGCTGCAAATGGAAACAATTTTATGTATAGTGAGACTGAACCAAAAACAGTAAAGTTTCAGACCTTAAAATAAATACAATGAGGTGAGAGAAGCTAAGGGTATGGCGGACCGATCCTGACACATTCAGAAATAAATACAGAAATAAATAAATGCTCAATAAATAAATAAGCATCCGATTAAATACACTAAAAAATAAAGTAAATAAATAAATGTAGGTAGTAATTAAATTATACAAGGAGACATAAATGTATATATCTATTTTAATTACCTTATTTATTTATTGTCCGTTATAATCTTCAACTTCATTTATTAATTACTTCTTTTTTAAATGTATTTATTTATGTGTGTGTTTTAATAATTTTGTCTGTTTTATTCTTGCGTTGCATTTTCTACCCTATTTATTTTCACCCATGGTATTTATTTCTGCCTGTCCTTTTTACATTTCTCTATGCATTTCTGTCTCATTATGCAAATTAGGAGGGGCTGTGTCTCAAGGGGTCATCTTCTCTGCTATTGGTGGACCAGTCAGACAGGAGAGCTCTAGGCCTACTCTGCCTGCAGACATCAACGATCTGCCCCTCACACAGTCAGATGGCTTCCTTCAGTGCGCTGAGGTGTTTAGCAACTCTGTTTGAAGACACTACCAGCCATGTCTTCCTTCTCTTTTCACGTAGACGCTCCGACAGACAGTGCTTTCAGTTTGCTGCATGCATGGACACAGAACTGAAGTATAGGGAGAAGCACACGGTCAGCTGGCTGCCGCTAAATCTGGAGTGCACTCATATTCAATTCTGTATGGTAAATTCAGTTTTAACGGAGCAGAACGAGCTGACAGGCAGAGTTAGAGACTTTTTCTGTCCGTTTCTCTCTTTACAAAGATGCATGTTGCAGTCAGAGTCTTCTCTGAAGAGGGCAATGAAGTCTCAGTAGTACCCGATGCGAGCACCACATACAACACAATTTATCAAATTACACAACAGATATACAGTATGAAAATAAGATTGATTGGATTATACTCACAGGAAGTATAAAACCTGTTACATGCATCTATTAAAAGTAAAATAACACAAAAATGTCAGGGAAATTACTTTACTTAGATTTAAGTACTGCAGTTGTACATTTGAAATACCTTCCTACCTTTCTGATAGGAAGTTCTCTTGAGGTGGTATAAAACATTTCTTCTTAAATTCTGATTTGAGTTGTGGACAACTATGACCACATGAATTAAAAATTTCATTTCACTGCCCAAGTCAGCTATAACACAAGCCTTGTTCATTAGACTACATGCTGTACAGTATTTGTAATTTGATTTATTATGCATTTCTTCTTCTTCGTTGCATGATTTAGAATAATAAGTTGAGAAATGGGTCTGTTCTGAGTTGATCCTGCTCTGCAGCAGTTAATAAAGTCCATTTAATCCCCAAAATGCTTTCTTTTAGGCAGGCTGGAGCAGGAAACAACTCACCTTTCTCAAGTTGTACAGTAACATCACATATGTGTATGAAGGTGGATCAAAAAAGCTTATCTTAAATGTCAAAGTAGAGAGGAGCCTAGTAGGCCTATTTATTTTCATTCATTACACAAAATGAATAAGCTATGCAGACAGTTCTAAAGAAAAAACATCTTCTTCTTCTGTTCTCTACTTGTCATAGTTACACAGTATTAGGGGTGTGGGCTGTATTAAAAGTATCCACTGTTCTCCCATGCTCTAACACACAGTAACGATGAAATGTGTGCTGTTCTCTCATTCTTCCTCTGTATGTACACATAAACAAGGCAGGGAAATACAAAAGGAATTTATTTTATTGTTTGGGGATTGTTTTCTTTGTTGCTCTCCTTCTCCTCCTTCTTCTTTTTTTCCTCTGAAGAATATGGTTATGTTCTCCGCATGCCTCCTCCTGTGTTTTCTGTGTAAGACATAGAAGTACAGTAACTAACGTTAGCCTTCATTACATCATTTCGACTGGTGAAGTGCAGTAAAGTTAACTTTAAATTGACTTCACCACCACACATAAAACACGGCTTAATAGCAATCACATTTAACAGAAGCATAAAATTCTTCTTAATGGTAACTATTAAGATTAGTTTATTTGTTAGTCACAACCACTAGCTTAAGAGCTTTAGCCTATATGATGTTAGCACTACATAAATTAGCCTAGCGGCTAACGGACTTTTACTCTCCTCATAGCTTAACAGATTACATGTATTATTCATAATACTCACCGCTGGTGAACTCACTGCATCTCCCGACACAACACCACGGTTGAAACAGCAGCTGATAACAGCAGAGCAATGAGCTGCTCCGTGGGAGCATTTACCGTAAATACTCGAATAGGAGTGCACTCCAGATTTAGCTGCGGCTAACTGATGTGGCTCACAGAAACAACAGCTCACTTTCCTGCAGTTCTGTGTCCGTATAAGTTGCTAATTGAAAACTCTGTAGGTCAGAGTGTCCACGTGAAAAGAGAAGGAAGACATGGCTGGTAGTGTCTTCAAACAGAGTTGCTAAACACCTCAGCGCACTGAAGGAAGCCATCTGACTGTGTGAGGGGCAAGATCGTTGATGTCTGCAGGCAGAGTAGGCCTAGAGCTCTCCTGTCTGACTGGTCCACCAATAGGAGAGAAGTTCACCCCTTGAGACACAGCCATTTCAGTCATTTGTATAACGAGGCAGAAATGCATAGAGAAATGTAAAAAGGACAGGCAGAAATAAATACCATGGATGAAAATAAATAGGGTAGAAAATGCAACGCAAGAATAAAACAGACAAAAATATTAAAACACACACATAATACATTACAATACATTTAAAAAAGAAGTAATTAATAAATGAAGTTGAAGATTATAACGGACAATAAATAAATAAGGTAATTAAAATAGATATATACATTTATGTCTCCTTGTATAATTTAATTACTACCTACATTTATTTATTTACTTTATTTTTTAGTGTATTTAATCGGATGCTTATTTATTTATTGAGCATTTATTTATTTCTGTATTTATTTCTGAATGTGTCAGGATCGGTCCTCCATACTAACGAGAACAGCTGATAATTATCTGTGTGCTTGTAAGTGACCACTTCCACAAGTCGTTTGGTAAATATTTTAATATAAAAAAATTGATTGGTGCAGCTTTAAAATGTCTGACACATCATTAGGACATAGGCCTATGTTTCCTCAGAATATTAGGGAACCCTACACCAAAACATATTTATTTTTAATGTCCTTATAACATCATAATCAATTCACTATATGTCTCCTGGACATTTAGAACTTCATGAAAACGTCTGATTGACATTATGAATTCCAGGAGGTCAAGGTACCCATACACAATTACACCCAGTATTTGATACAGTCAGAACACATTTTTTTTGTTAGCTGGGCAGTTTGGACTCCTTCTGCATGCGAGGGAAAAGGAGAAAAAAAACAGGGCAGTTTTTGCATAATGATTAATCTTGACAGACATACGTCATGCTCCTAGGCTCCTGACAACGTCACGCCCCGGGTGAAATTAACGCCTAACTGCTTATCTTAAAGGACCTGGGATTTAATTAAAAATGACATTTCCCCAAAGACTTGCGCTTCTGAGGCTGCCATGTTGAAATTAAGCTGATGAGGGGCCCTCTGAGCAAAAGGGAAATAAGCAAACTGTCAAACGCTCAGCAAACCACTGCCGTTTATCAGTCCTGCTCGCTGCTCAGGAAATAACAGTGGACTGACATCCTGCATGGCACTGCCGCTGCACCATGGATACAAGTCACATTGTTATGAAAAAGAAGGAGGGGGGACAAAACAACAAACCTGTCAAATGTGATATGGAGACAAACAATGTGGTTGGGCTGAGTAGGGGAACAGGGTACTGAAAGGAGCTCTTAAGTCACAACAGACATATTTTTCCAGTGACAAAAGCAAACTTTATGACTTGAATTATGAATTTCATAATGAGTGCTACTCAAATAGTGAGTCTTCAACAGAATTAAAAAAAAACTGGGAAGGAATATGAAATACTACAAACTGAATACACATGGGACATTTTCCTTATTGTGCCTTTTTATAAGACCATTGACATCAAAGAATATCTCTCATCCTGCAGATTGTGCTTGTATATCTCTGACTGAATTCTCCTGACAATTCCTAACAGGTTAGAAAGTTAATAAAATGCTTTTACTCCTAGTCCTAAAAGTAGAACCAAAAAATGTGTCACCC